TTAATTTTAAATTTGTTTTACATTATTTAATTTCTTATTAAATTCTCTTAATTTTATTTTATTTAACTTTACATTTAGTTACATTGTGTTAATTTATTTTAGTTATAATGTTTTTTGTTTATATAATTTTGTTACTTATTTTTTTTCATACATACATTTATTTATTTTTTTATTTATTTGATTAAATTTTGTTTTATTTTTTACATTGTTTTTCATTTTACTTTATGTTATTTTATTGTATTTTAATTTATGTTGTTTATTTTTATTATGCTAATTAAGTCTACTTTATGGAGTTTATTTTTTTAAATTTATTTTAAAATTTTTTTTTATTTATCCTACTTGAGTCTATTTTATTCTATTTTTTTAATTGTATTTTACTTTATTTGATAGAATTTTTCTAGTATATTATAGTTTTTCATTTAATTACATTTCTTAAGCTTTTTTCAATAATTTTTAAGTATTTTTTCTAATTTGGGGCTTATTTGCTTTACTTTATTTCCCTTTTTTAAATTATTATTGGATTTTTTTAAAATTAATTTATTTTTTAAATTTTAATTTAATTTACATTTTGTCATTCTATTATTTTTTAGTTTTTATTTTAATGACTTAATTTTTAAAGTTTGTTTCCTTTTTAACTTTATTTTATGTTTGTGAAATTTAATTTTTTAATGTTTTTTTTCAAATTTCCACAGCAAATACTTACCAATCGTCGTTAGCACCGTTAGTGAGTAGAGAAACGCTTTGGCGAAATTCCATTCATGCGGCCCGTTGCCATGCCCATATTGACCGCCATGTGTGTGCAGGAGTACAGCTTCCGTGGCTGGACTATTACCAGCAATCGCTGCGCCACTACCGCTCGCACCAGCCAGGCCGCCATCCATTTCATGTGATAATTGCAATAGGGCATCCTCATTCAGTCTCTTGATTAATTGGTCTTGAAATTTGGCAATCTCCAGCGCAGCTAGCCTGCAAAGAGGCAGAGAAAGGAGAGTGGAAAAAGAAAGAAAAAATGGAAATTAATGAGAACAAGAAATATGTAAATGTAAATGCAGTAAAATTAAGTACTTGAACATATACTTTGGGGAAAAGAGTTAATTGGGTAAAAATTTGATTTGTTTATTCATATGTATGTACATACTATCCAGGCATATAATATATGTATATATGAATAAAAATCATTACTCCACTTCGCATCCTACAAATTACCTTTGTTTAATATTTAAAATAGTCTAGAAGACTAAATGAATTCGTGAACATTTAAAACCAATATCGATTAAAATTTTTTACTTCGGTTACTTCGGTTTCCAGTTTAATACAACTCCGCAAGAACATAAACAATGAAATTTAATCAAAATAAATTTGTTAAACTCTTACATTACCTATAGCAATAGAAACTTAATTAAATTTAAATTAAATTACTATATTTGATACAAACGATTTCAGCGATATTCAGCATTAGGAACAACCGAGCTGAGATATGTAGATGCAGCGGTGGCGTAACAATGCCACAACTTTTCCATGGAAAACAATAATAATTTAATATTTTCAAAAACATAGCAAAATACTTGCATCAGTGCAAAATGTTTTCGAAATTTCCTGTAATGAAATGTGCAAACCTGCAAACCTGGAAAAATTACTCGTAAGCACTGCTACACGTGTGGCAGCGAAAGAAAATGCCAGAAAAATTATGCGAAATATTTGATGCAAATTTCTAATCTACTCGTGATTCCATGTATGTATATATACGCTACACTTCTGCTCTTAATAAATAGATAACAGATGCAACTACATACAGTGGTGGTCACGAATTTAGCACACCTGCATTTTTTTGCAATGTGCATAATGCTATACGTGATCATTTTTTTTCGTAAATTTTTTGTATAAAACTATAATTTAGTCTATAGCATAAATCCGTCAATGTCTAAAATTTTGTACGAAATTCAATAAAAATAGTGATAAAAAATTACGAATTTTTATTCGAATTTTTAAAAATTTTTTGGGATGCAGCTATATATGTAGACTAATGCTGGATTTCCACTAGACATTAAATGGCAAAAATGACATGTGGCAAAGTCGGGCATTAACAAATAATCGTGTCATTACATTAAAAAAATAATCATTAAGTTCATTTCTACATGGCATTTTTTTAAATGGAATACATCTTTCGTTATTTCAATGCCTAGTGGAAATTCGGCATTAGTTTTACTATTGTAATGAGCAAGTTTGAAACGGCTTAAAATCACTGTTGATTTTTGATAGTTTTTTTTCTTTTGCTGACGAATACTCCACCAGCGCTCTCGGGCGGGTAAATTTTTTGTAAAATAATTTATTTATCATACGCGTAAGTGATTCGTATTACCTATATAGCAAGTGTATATTCCAAAAAGGAACAAAATCGCACTACTCACAGGGATTCTCTATATATCCCTACCCTAGTGCCACCTACCGAGTTATTCGCTTGCCTATGTTGAGACCAGAGAGAGAAGCATACCGTTTGAACATTTTATTGAAATAGTTTTTGAGTCAAAATATTAAATAAGCTATGTGTTTACATGTGTATATATGTAAATTAGGGTGGTAAAAAGGTAAAGTCGTCATTTTAATGCTCAACAAATATACCCCTGTTTTTTAGCCCTCAAAGTTTTCCATGCATTTTATATGCGGAAAAAACAAGCTTTTGTAGAAATGGTATAGAATTCTTGAAAAACAATCCGATCCGATCCGATCGGAAAACTCTATTTCTCTGCAGGAGATTCCCAATAATAATATCCAATTGCTTATGTATAATAAACATAGGTCCGCCAAAAATATCCAAAACCATGAAAAATGCATTGGGGGGACCGATAAAAACTGTTAGATTAAAAAATGGTTAAATAAACAATTGGAAAGTCTCCTGAAGAGAACCTAAGTTTTCCCATCGAAAAATATCGATTTTCAAGTATACAATTTCTACGAAAAGTGTTTTTTCCCCATGGAAAAGATTGAGCGCTTTGAGCGTCCTCTGAATATTTTTTGATTTCAAAATAAAAAAAATAGGGGTATACTTTTTTCGATATAGAACAATCCTAGGGGTGAGAGCACTAAAATTCAGACTTTACTCTTTTTGGGCCAGACTAATGTACATACTATAATTTCTGTACAATTTAAGTAAATTCGACTTTTCAAACTTATGGCAACTTTGCTTAAAATTATTTTCAAACTAAAACCCTATTAACTCTCTTTCGTCTTACATTACCATACATTTTTAAATTAGCTGATCATTTAAGTTGAATTTGACTTTTTAAACAGATGGCAACCCGCCTACATAAAGGCTAGAAATAAAACACTTTCAAGCCCATTTCGATTGATACCCATCTTTTAATGATTAAATTAACTTATTAAATAATTTGAGCCTTATGGTCTGATTATGCATACTTCGCATAACTTCGCACAACTTCGCATAAACTTCAAACTGTAATTTCGTATGTACTTTGTATGTATTTTGTATGTATTCCATTACCCAGAAATTAGCAGAAATTTTAAGAACTTAGCGATCTGTTGAGTTTAGATTTTGCTTCACATTTTCTTAAGTTACATTTTTAGTGCACTGGTACAAATGGTTGTGCGAAGTTATGCGACGTATGCATAATCAGACCCTTACTCTTTAAACAGCTGGCAACCCTTTTTAAAAACCCCAAAAATATTGTAAATGTTGAAAAAAAGATTTCTTAACACTTTTCCATATTTTAGTATTTCATATAACTTGTGTATAATTTAATTTAAGACGACTGTTCAAACAGGTGGCAACCCTCTTCACAATTGTTCAAACTAAATCCTATTTGCTTGGCACCAATGCTGTGATTCATATTTCAATTACCTTTTTCCCTTAATTCTAGTGGGATTTGACTTTTTAAATAGGTGGCAACCCTGATTAGAAATAAAATCTTTTAAACCCCATTTCGATTGATACTCATCTTTATACAAATAACTACACAAAATGGCTTAGAGTGAAGCTTTTAATTAAAAGCCAACATCAGCAACTCCAAGCCAATATTTCATAGTTTTTTTCTTCTTAAAAAGTATTTTTTAAGTTTCGAAATTTTAATTTATTTAAATTTCCTTGTAGCATATTACTCACATGCCAAATACCC